AGATCTACAACTGCACATTACCATATCTCTTAAATCTAAATTATTGCTTGGTAAACTAATAGACATCTGTTACACAATTTTTGGTGGAGAAAGCAATATTGTTTTGAGGTGTCTGTTCTACGAAATTCAGGCACAAATATCTTATACCAATACTGAAAACGATGAACTCACCTGACTACATTGGGATGCGATAATTCTTTCAAAAGTGAAATTTCTCTTATCGCTGTGCTAGGAACGCCCTCCGATTCCCTAAAGTAAGGCAAATACTTAAATTACTCTTTTCCTATAGTGAYATAAATCATCTTTAATTTCAAGAASTTTTTCCATACGTCACCCCCAACATGGCAGTCATTTTTTTGTTGAGGGTCAACGTTAGCAAAATGCAAGATATTGATATGTTGAGGCACAGATACAAAGAGATATATCAAAATACTGAGTAACTATTTCATCAGCCGAAGCCTATGAGAAACGACAAAGCAACAATTCAAAGAAAGAAAGCCAGTATCAAAACCAAAGCTTTCATCAAGTACAACAAAGAACCACGGTACTCGGTCGGACAGCTAACACATATATTATCAAAAACTCACGCGTCAAGTCTTATYCTTTTCAAGGCAACCATTCCCCCATTAGTTTTGTCTTTTGCTTTGTAGACGACTCCATATGTRCCCTCTCCAATTTTCTCAATTCTTTCAAATTTCTCCATGGAATTAGACATCACCCCGGGGAAGACAGAGAAGACAGTACATCTAGCATACACTTGATAACGCAAACACAGCCTAGCTTCCTGCGCGCCAAACTAATTTGGACTGATTGGTTGATTTTTCGCGCCAAATAAATTCTTTATTTTGATAGGTCAAAAACATGAAACGCCCGCACGCCTTTCGTAATATGAGCCAGCGGAAATCCGAACTGCCGAAGACCTTCGGCTCCTATCTTACTTGATAAACGGCTTCACTGATAAAACATGGCCTCTCATCTAGCTCTTCTTAGAAATATTATATTATATTTGATTAAATCTTAAATCTAGAATTTATTGTTATAATAGAGAATAAGAGATGATGTGTGTGACCATAAGTGTACCATTTTAATGGACCAAGGGACTAACTATATAGCTTCTTGAATTCTTCGGTTGATACTTTATGTTTGGTTCAGTATCACGGTTCCTACCAAAGGGTCCGTGTCAAAATCAGAAAAAAATCTTGATAATTAGACCTTCATTTAAATATAAGTAGGGTTAACAGAAGATTGGGGTAATTAATTAAAAAAACTAGAATATTCTTAACATTTCTTTGCGCGAAACTATCATGAATATATATTTGGAAATYGATGACGCAAATCGGTAACAGCTGTTTGAATAAATAAAAAATTGAGCCAATCATTGGGAGAAGCCAARTTGAAATCACCATATTTGGTCATGACAGACAGGTAACTGACGTAATGGTGATATAAGGAGTAAAGATTTATTATATGTGCAGGGTGTAGGCCTCCCCGAAGCTTTAGATCCAACGCTTGTGACGCAAAGGTGACGCGTCGATGTCTTGTTCGAACTAGAAGCAAGAAACACAACGACACACTGGCTGCGTAAAGAAATAAGGTGACGTAGAAGTGACGTAGCATTAAGTTTCATTTTCTTCCCTTTCGTAGCAATTACCAGATAGATTTTGGTGTTCAATGATCAAATATTTTGTAGTCTTTTCGCCCTTGTATTCCCCCACATAGAATTTCAAGCTTACTGTCTTTGTTCTCGTTGATTACAATGTGGCTTTCATTCGGTTTAGGTTTTTCATTTGACTCGAACGTACATAGRCAGTTCGCATCTCTTGTGCCTTGGTTAGTGATTGTCTCGGCCAAGCAATCCGAGAATAAAAGGACATGGAACAAATCGAAGATCATACGCAAGTAACCGAAATTGAAAACGGCAATGCAATAAGCCAGAGTCAAGGAAATGCTGCTATTCAGCAAAACTCTTCGCAAGGGATGCAAGGACAATCAGTTATACAACAGAATCAGCAATCAGTCATTCAAAGTCCTCAATCTGTGCATGGTATTCCATCAACAATTCAGGCCCAACTACAGATGAACCCACAAGGTGTCCCTGAATCAGAGGAAGCGTCGATGGACGATGATAGTAAGAAGCGAAGAGATATTCTCTCAAGAAGGCCATCTTACAGGTCAGTACATTTGCTTGTTTSAAAGTTTCTTATAAGCTTCAACATGATGTTTACTCAGTTGTGTGGAAGTYGTATGACCTGTTATAGTTCTCTTGTGCCTTGTAAAGCATGCTGTTTTTATAAAATTGTTTATAGAAGGTTTTTCAGTTTCGATTTTCTTTTGGCTACGCGGCTGACGTGATGTATATTGCGCCAAAAGCCAGAGTGACGAGATACGCGTTTACGACATATCCTTTTTGTGATGTCAAAACATCATCTCACCTAAGCCATACAACCGATTTGAAAAATAAAGAAAAAAGTTTGTTTCATATCTTATGTCAGAAACGCAAAGTAAGTGATGTTAATGTTTAGSTTTTGATAAACTTTTGTTGTAGTATACATTAAGATTGTTCATAGATGCTGATCAAAAAGTTGTTTGTCGACCTTTGTAAACAAAACTGTGATTTAGTTTGACAGAAGCAAAATTTTTTGATTATGAAATTAACCATTTTTCATTTTTGTGAATTCAGTTATGTATATTACAATCTCATTTCCTCCTGTGATTATCAATTTCTTATAAATGYTGTTCCTTTTCTTGCAGAAAAATTTTTAACGACCTTTCAAATTCAGATAGCCCAAATAAAATCGAGACAATCCAAGAAGATRGCTTGGAAGGTTCTGATCAAAGTATATCTACGACAGCGATCAGTTACCAACAGGGTTCTCAAACTGTGACAATCCCTGGAACAATTCAGATTGTTACAAGTGGTGGTGAAGCCGTTCAAGGTCTCCAGGCTATGCCCATTTCAAGTGCTACAGGACAAGCAACAGTTGTACAATATCAGTCTCAGCAGGTCAGTGTTGCACGATGTTTTTAGTATCCACTTTTTATGAGTTTGAGTTTGTCAAGCAATAAACCCCTACATCAACATTTAATCTTCAAATTAATACTTTGGTTTTCTGAATTGAGCTGCTTTGGGAATGACTCGGTAAGACACACATTATACCACTTGCAATACTGGTCCAGCATATGATTTTCTTTTCCCCCTCATCAGAACTTCTAAATCAAAAGTTAATCTTAAGAGACACCCACAGGAATACCCCCCCCCCCCGCCCCCCGCCCTGATAATACTTCATCAGAGTCAGCTCCCAGTTTGTATAGCTTCATCAATACATTAAAAGCACTGGACATGCATGTTGAATTGTTTTATTTTTTACTTTAGGACGGCCAGCAATACATTTACACAGCAACTCCAGGAGAGGTACAGGTTGGTTTTATAAACAATATGRTGCTCAGATAATCACAATGTGATCCTGAAGACTTTCAACTTAACTTAAAAACAGAATATTGATAATARAAATAATAAGCTTTGGTTATTTATTTTTAGGTTCAAGTAAGCAATACTGGTGCTACTATGTATACAATACCAGCTGGTCAACAACAATATATTAGAGCAGGCCAGATTCAACCGGGTTTAGTACTCAATCAAAGTGGAATRTCTCCAAATAACCAACAGGTTGTAGCAGAGGAGGCTACCAGAAAAAGAGAAACGCGACTTATGAAAAACAGGTTAGTTGTTGGAATATACACTTTGTTCTTGTATCTGATATTAGCTGCTGTAAGATTGTTTCACTTTTCTCTCTGACATTTGGTCATATAAAACCTTCATTCCATCTTCTTTTACAGGGAAGCTGCAAAAGAATGCAGGAGAAAGAAAAAAGAATATGTGAAATGTCTGGAAAACAGGGTAGCTGTCCTCGAAAACCAGAATAAGACTTTGATAGAAGAACTCAAAGCTCTCAAGGATCTTTATTGTCATAAGTCAGAATAGCATGAAATTAGATTGTTTKGCTAAATTAATGTCGCACAGGGTCACTCTTGTTTTATATAAGTTTCACTATTTATAAAGGCTTTGTTTCAGCGGAGCAGCAATCCATAGTCTTTAAGACATATATTGCCTAAAGTTTTTACTTGTATTCTATGATGATTTTGGAACTTTTATGTTTTCTAACAAAAGATTTGAACAACAGCTAACTAGTATATATATAACCATGCATAWATTTTGTACATATTAAATTGCAAAGTGAAATATTATTGTTTTTCGCTTGAGTATCAAGTAGCCAAATATTAACTCTTTGTTTTACTGATACAAGGTCTACTTAAATGCAAATAGTATAGTTTAAGTAAAAAAAAAAAAAATGCTCCACAGATTTTAGAGTTATGGGGTAAAAATGTGATTTTGTTTAATCAAAATAACAGTTCATTATTATGGAAAGTCCAGTCTTTGGYCTGATTTGATCCTAAGTTTGATCTTTGTATGCATTTTTATGTTTACTGTAGCACACATTGATTCAATTGTGATAGATATAGGACTTCCTTTTATTGTATCYAAAAAGATTTATTGTTTTTTTGAGAGCATAGCATTGAGAGCAATTTAATGTGGTAATTAACATTAAAACTGTTTCTTGTGTAATCAATATTGCATGTATATTTTGGCCATAACACATACAGCTAGGTATATTTTTTATTGGAGGGGGCATCATCGATAAAAAATTGAACTTTTGTTGAGACCTGTGTTACTAGGTTTAAACCTTTTTATTTTGAGTAGTAATTAGAGCTAGTCCCTTCTTGTCTTACATTGCTGCACCTCAAACCGTGAACACCAAACAAAAGTTTTTGACAAATTTTAATTGATCTCTTTACCGCTAACCGAATTTGTTTTGGCGCTTCACTTTAATGTTTCGATATTGTTACATTCTGCACCACGAACTCTGCCTATCCAAACATCAAGGTGAAGCACTGATGCCTAATTGGTTAACGGTAAAAAGCACAGTTAAAACTTGTCAAAAAAATCTAAAACTTGTAGAAGTGTTCAAGKTACGGCTCTTAGCACTGTAATAGGAGGGTCATAAACTTCCAAGTAGTGAGTGAAAGGRAAAGAWGTACAACAATTTTTWAAAAAGTTTACTGCAAATTTACTTCACCYCTAATAAAATTACCTTCTCTAAGTRCTTATAACAAACTTGACTTCTAATATTTCCTTAAAATATTGGTGRCAAAAGCCTGACAATTTAGCTCAGCCTGGTGAATAAATTAGTGAACATCTGACAATATAATAAGAACTATAACMATGAGTGCTGTCTGATTGATAGGCTCTCAACAAATTATGGTTTGGTAATACAAATAAAATAAAAAATGAAATAAAGATTTATATGTACTTGCATAAAATAATTTACTGCTCATTGGTGTTTCTTCCAAAAACGTTTTCTCTGGATATTGAAATCCCTTATGATTTGTAACCTTCTCTTATATCTTACTGGTGGGGGAAGAAGTGCTAGTTCTCAATGATCAAGTAAAATTTCGAGGCTTTATTTCACGTTTCAATTTTATTGAAATTTTTGAAGAATCCCCATACATTTCCTTAATTGCTTACTATCAATCACATGACTTTTTGGAGTTGACTGGGGGGCAAACAAGAGGTTGACTGGGGGGCAACTAGCGGATGCTAAGTCAAAACATATCAAAATAAGTCCTCAAACTATTGTATTTGACTATTTTCACAACGTCAAACCAGAAAACCAGAGATCAAAACAACCTCCAGGATTCTACAAGCCATCAAAAAAGAGCTATTACCGGAAGTGACGTCTATTGATAGCAACCTATAGGACATTTAGGACATTACAGAAACCAAGCTTGGGCTACCTGTGGGGGAAGAAGCTGATGATTGGTATTCGCTCGTGGGCTCCCTGTGTACAGTCTAACATGGCTGCCGCMTCTGAAGAGAGCAGTTGTGCTACTCTTACAGTGCGTTTTATACGGTCGTTTGAATATAGAAATTTTAGACCAGTTGTTTATCATCAAATMAATTTGGAACAAAATACTAAAGAATTCATAAACTTTATAACAGAGGGTAAGAATTTATTTCTAAATACGTTTCCCCTTCMAGATTGCCCGGTACTGCGCGCGTTGTGTATGCGCATTTATTTATTCTCATCTGGAAAAACTATCTTTGTAGTCGAGCCTAGGGCAACTCCATTTTATCGTGATATATATCTATAAAACTTTGCCTTTTATTTTATTTTTCATTCAAATGAATCGTTAGGTATTTTACCTTCTATAATAAATAAGGATTGGATGGCTGAGTCGAAGTTGTCATGGTTTTTCTTTCTAACTAGCTTTGAGTGGTGGTACCTCATAACTAGCTATCAATTCAGTGTTAATAAGGTTTTCACTAATACCTATGCATATACTTCGATTTACAGATATAAAGACAAGGGGAGGAATTCCGCTACCTTTTAAGAAATTTTCTTATGGTAAGGAAATATTGTTAGCCAAAGCAAATCATTACCCTTTTTGTGACTGCCAGTGCAATTTACAAATGCTCTCCTTAGCTTGAATTATATCAGCAAAAGGGAAATGGGGCCGAGGGGTACATGGGCGGAGCCCTCCTTTAGTCCTCCTACCCCTGATCCTGGGGGGGTGGGGGTGCTCTGCCAGAATTTTGGGTAGGGGTGTTCTGCTGGGATTCTGAAAGGGGTACCCTGTTTATGACAAAAAAAATCAAATTTGTAGACCCTGTTTATGACAAAACATATAATTAATTGCACTGAGTTCCTGTTTCAATTATCATGTCATCTTGCGTATCGTTTTTTTACGACCATGATAACCAGTTTTGGTCAATACGAAAGTAGAAACCCTGAATATGACAAGAAACTCAGGAAGAATTTGGACCTTGAGTGAAATTGCATACCCTGTTTATGACAAGAAGCTCAAGAAACCATACCCTGTTCAGCGGATCATCCCTGTAGAGTCCATATATGGGACTGTTTTCCTCTACCCCAGTACACCTACGCCCCATTCCCCTTGTTCTTATATACCAAGGGAGAGCACTTGAAAATTACATTTGTACGGAAATTCGAGAACAATGTC